TATACACACACACACACACACACACACACACACACATACATACAAACTTTAATGCATATATATACCATATATATATACACACACACACACACACACACACATCCAAACTTTAACGCATATATATGAGTGCAGGTATACCTTCTTCACCCAAGGATACATTTTTCCTTGATTCTAGAGAGAGAGGAAGGGGAGAGGGTGAGAGAACCCCGGAAGGCTGCCTCTCACCTGCGCCCCAACCGGGGATTAACTGAGTATGTGCTCTGACCGGGAATCAAACCATCGACCCTCAGTTGCATGGGACAACATTTCAACCAACTGAGCCACACCGGCCAGGGCTCATTCAAATTTTAGAGTACACACATTTCTTCTAATAAGAACTATGTAACTGAAAGAAATGTAAATTGTTTTGTAAAAGTGAAATATTTTAAATAAAGGCTATCTCTATTGAATTTTTTATAAACAACTTGAAGTCCACAATCATTTTTTTGATTGACACAACAGCCCATGATGCTCAGTCCAGTATCTCTACTTTCCATGGCAAACATTTCCCAATCAAATATTAACACTAGACTCCAGGATGTGTCCAACTGGCACATATTCTCTTGTGATTCCTGAAGACCCTCAACATCCAGAGGCCTCGTGAAACATCTGAATGCCCGAGTCCGAAGGGTCAGTCATGTGCCTGCATTCTCGAATGACACTTCTGTGCGGTGTGGCATGGCGAGATGGCCTGGGCACAGTGACCTTACATGCATTCAACTACATCTGCTCCACCAGACGGGGCCGGTTCTGGAGGATGAGAGACGCAACTGTTGCTCCCTCCGCCAGTCTTGGCCTCCACTGGTCCCTCACATAATGGGCTTCTGGTGTCTGAGGTACGTATTTCCGGTACAATGCAGACCTAAGCACAAGCCATTTCCTTCGTCTGGGGCTTGTCCAAATAAAAGGCAGTCTAGTCTGTGTTCAAGGCAGAAGAAAAGCAGCTGTGCCATCCGGAGACAGTGTGTCTGCACATGGCACTTATGGGCCATGTAAGGGATGTTCAAGGGAACCCCGACCCACAGGTCTCTGCCTGACCTGCTGGCTTCCTCACTTCCCTGCATAAGGAACAACCCTGTAATGGCCCTCGTGCACAGTTTTAGGCAATAACTGCTCGACTCCCACGGGAGTGCTGCTCACACTGCCTGGTGAGCAAATCTGGACCATTTTGGAGCACATCCTCACTCCATCCGCTTCAGGAGTCACTGTCTCTCATTCCCACAGAGAGCTCATGGGAGCAGCACAAATTATTGAGGCGGGGCCCCACCGGGCATCCCGCCTTTCTGCTTTCCGCCTCATTTCTTATTTCTGCTGAGCACTACTGCTTTCTTAAATTCCTGCACTTATAACACAAGTTCTAAGAGCTGGCTTCCCTCACAGGGCAATTTTACAGACATAACATGTTCATCGCAAATGCCGTGCAAACCAAAGGAAGATGAGTAACACGCGTAGTCGGTGGCAGAGCAGGAGCGAGAACCCAGACGTCAGGCAGTCGGGGCGTTACTGCTGCTCGCACGTCCCGTTCACAGGGAAGAAAGCCTGCCGCACACCCGGAGACACGTGCTTGCCAGAAAACACACAGATCTGAGGATGAGCTCCCGCCCGAGGGCATCTGGCTGAGGATAAGGAGCTGAGAGGATGGAGACTGTGGGAATCCATGCTGGGCCACCGAGGCAGATGAAGGGAGCTGAAGCTGGGCTCTGAGGCAGATGGTCCCCCTGAAACAGCAACCCCACAGAGGAACCGGTGGGCCAGCCCTGGGCTTCACAGGCCACGTTCCTTTTCAATCTCACCTCCCCTGTGAGAGCAGCACTGTTGTCATTACCCCCGGCTCCCAGATGAGGGATCACTCAGAACACTGACACCACCGAACACGGGTGAGCATGCGGAGCAACAGGGATTCTCACTCGTGGCTGGTGGGCGTGCAAAATGGCACAGCCACTTCGGGGGACAGTTTGGCAGTTTCCTTACACACAATCCAGTCGTCGTGCTCCTTGGGGTGTACGAGGGTTTATGTCCACACAAAACGTTGCACCAGGTGTTGACAGCAGCTTTGTTCAAAACTTGGAAGCAACCAAGATGTCCCTTAGGTAAGTCAACGAATAAAAACACTGTACTACATTCAGACAACTGAATATTATCCAGTGCTACAAAGAATGAGCTAACAAGCCATGAAATGACATGGAGGAACTTTTAATGCCTATTACTAAGTGAAAGAAACCAATGATGCAATATTCTGGAAAAGGCAAAACTGTGGAAACAGCAAAAAGATCAGCGGTTGCCGGGAGTTCAAGGTGGGGTGGAGAGAGAGAGAGAGATAAACAGGGCAGTGACAATATTCAGTGTGACACCTAATGATGGCTACATGTCATTACACCTTTGTCCAAATTCACAGAATGTCCAATCTACACAGTGAACCCTAAGATAAGTTATGGGCGCTCTAGGTGATAATGATGTTATCAGGGTAGGTGCACTGATTTAACAAATGCACCTTTCTGGTGGGGTATGTTGATAATGGTGGAGGCTGTGCCTGTGTGGGGGCTGAGGGCCTATAAGAATCTCTGTACCTTCCACTCCGTTTCGCTATGAACCCAAAACTGCTCTAAAAACTAAAATCTGCCCTAGCCAGTTTGGCTCAGTGGATAGAGCATTGGCCTGCAGACTGAAGGGTCCCGGGTTCGATTCTGGTCAAGGGCACGTACCTTGGTTGCAGGCTCTCCCCAGCCCAGGCCCTTGCCAGAGCGCATACAGGAGGCAACCAATCAATGTGTTTATCTCACATTGATATTTCTCTCTGTCTTTCCCTCTCTCTTCCACTCTCTAAAAATCAATGGAAAAATATCCTCGGGTGAGGATTAAAAATAATAATA